TTATGAAACTTACCAAATTCCTTAGCTCCCTTGCCCCTTTCTACAACTCTCACCACCCTTTCTACGTGCATTCCTCCTTATGACACTATTATTGTTACTAATTGAATCACAAGTTCCCCTAATTCTCACAAGTGACAACCCCATAACTTGAAGCAACTGAGGCACTTCTTTCTCTTCAATTGGACATGTTGCATACTTGCTTAACTCCTTCAGCCATCATTCCGTTTCCTTCTCACCTTCACTAGAATCATCTCCCCCCTTGTCTAAATGATCGCCCAAGACCCCATCTTGATTTTCATTCACATGACTATGAGAATTAACAGCAATTAAGGATTCAGATAAAATGGCAGAATTATTCACAATGGTCGGGGGGGTTTTTGAGGAGACCCCTTGGTCAACATTTCCTTTTGTTGGGACCTCAAAACCAGGAAAAATAGAACTGGGAGAATTCCAAACAGCATTAGTATATTGCATGCATCATCACAGAAAGAACTACAATGACAGCAACAGCAACAAACAAATTTAAAATAAAATTAAAAAAAGCCAAGAAATAGTTCGATGATGCACCATTAAACATAGAGATATATTATGTATGTCCAGATACAGCAAATTACATTTCGCCAATAGTATCTGCTGTTGAAAATATCAGTGCAGTGCAGTTATCGGGGTCCTCGGCTATCTTTGACAGAGAATTGGATGCAAAGTTCAAACTTGCAACAGAATTGTTTTCATGTCACAGTTTGGCGAATGAAATAGTGAGGATCTAAAACATTTGGAGAACCAACAAATGAGCTTGGTTTACTTGTTAATGTCGCAAATAAATTTTTTCTATTCTTCTGATAGATAATATTGCTACTTAATGCTCATATCTTTAACCGATCACCTGAATGGGTAGATAAGCTTATAGATCCATCAAGAACACATTATAACAGAATGAGCTAGAAGTAACAATCTTCACCACCACAATTTAAGTAACCTGAGACTGAGCTTTATTATGTTCACTGTCTTTTTTAACCACTTTGAAGTCGTTAACATGCATGCAAACAATGTAACAAGATGAGCAGAGCATCAATGACAAGAATTATTCATGAGAAATTATCAGAGCACATGAAAATAGAGCCAATCAGATCACTACCATGAAATGAATAGCCAAAGAAATCAAAGAATGAAGTCTTTCATTAACAATTTGTATAAAGTACAGGTGAAGTGACAAGGGCCAATTGTTTACACAGACAATAGAGATTATTGTGAGATGGTTCTATTTAGAAATAGTGAACTAACAGGATTCAGATAATTGCAATCTTTCCTTCCCCACCACTGTTGACACTGATTAGGGAAGAGAAAATCATAATAAGTTGTACACAAAATACTAAAATGGGCTTTCAATATCTTCTTTCATTTTTTCCACTGGGATAAAGAGGTATCTTAAAAGGCCAATTTTTATTTGTTGAGTAAGATTCCAATTCATTTTGCCTAGACATAGAATTGGCACAAAATTAACATGTCAAAGAATTAGGCATTTAACAAATATAAATAAAATATATATATAAATACACACGTTTTAATCTTAAATCTTCTCTTGATCGACATGTGCAACTCTCTCTCTTTTTAATTTGCGAAGCTCACCCAAGTATTTTGTAATTTTTAAGAAAATGTAGTAATACTTTGTTCCCTCTCTAAAAGAACAGAAGTGTACTTGCATATCAGCAATAAATGTCAGTCAGCCCTCAGACGAGCATAAAAAATTCTTTGAAAAAAAAAAGCCCATCAACCAAATGTTGGCGAAGTGTATCTTAAGTAAAATTATTTTGAAGTGTCCAAAGCATGTATGATTTCTGTCTAGGTCCCCTAGGGGACATCCCAGCAGCTTAGGTTGCATTCCCACAATAAAGAGACTCAAGTTAGAGCCTCCTTAACTAATTAGCAATAAAGAACGTATGATTTATTTCTAGGCAAGTGAAAGATTTGATGGCTTTTAACAACTATTTCATCTAAAAGCTTAATACACTAAAGGGTGTAAAAAAATATTTTAATGCTCTCATATGTGGCTTCCAATAATTGTAGCATCCAAACCAACAAATTGCATATTGTGAAGATGAGTAGATGACAAAGGGATTTAACCAAAAAAACCTTCGTTCTTTGATACCATGTAAAAAGAACTAATATAAGACAATACAATGTATGAAAAAAGAGCCTACCCTAGACTAGGATTTTTATTAAGAAAAAATATCACCAGAAAAGCACCAAAAGGGATGGAATCCAAGAAAATGATATATAAAAACTAATAAATCCATAGGCAATCACAAAAGAATCCAAGTTCTTCACAAATTACAAAAATACCTCGAAGGATGGATTTGACTTCCATGTAACCCAACTCAAAAAGAGGAATTCTGTACTACAAAAATCTTAGTCTCTACTCGGGCCTAAAAAGCACGAACAAGGACACGGATATGGATATGGATATGGACACAGTGATTTTAAAAGAATCAAGACAAGAACGCATACACGGCGGAGATACCACAATTAAAAAACATTTACTTTTTATATATTTTCATCTAAGCACTAACACAGACACACTATAACAGGGACGCATTGACACGACAATTTTCAAAAAATGAAGGACATGACATGTGAAGTACACACACAAAATATATAGTTTTATAAATTTATTATATATTATATATACGAATATATCATTCAGATAAAATAAAATAAAAATACAACATGACACAATTTTTTTTAAATCTACAATTATTTCCTTTTATCTTTGTACCCTAGGTTATTTTGTTCAAACTTATAATCAGTCGGACACGTATGTCCTCCAAGTGTTCAAAGAGTGTCCAGATCTAAAAAATAGTTAAAATAATAGGAGACTTTAGGATGAGTGTCCGACACGGACACACCACGACATAGAGACACCACCTTCTTAGATGTCCCTGCTTTATAAATTTTTATTTGCTATATAGATTAATATAATGTCTAGAAACAATCAAAATTAAAAAAAAAAAAAACTAACACTAATTCAATATTATAAATAAATAAATAAACAAAAGCAAAAATAATAACACTAGATTTAAAATAATTAATAGACCGTCCATAAAAAAGAGAAAAAATAATAAACATTCAACATCTAACAACCATCAAAAGCAGAAGAGAGGAAAGAAAGTAGTTGGCGTATCCTTCGCGTTTCTCCAACATATCCTTGAAAAAAAAAAAATTAAATGGCGTGTCCTATACGCGTCTGCCATGTTCCCGGCATATCCAACACCACTACACTTATTTTGGAGTTTCTATGCAGTATACACTCAAGCAAATGATCTACATATACTACCTCCAACTTATCTATTGACCCACTCCTCAACCATTAATTATGTTTTATCATGCAAAGCACTCAAACCATACCCTACTGTCTAATTAGGCATTACATGATCATCACATGGTCAATGCTTTCACATCATATCTGATTAAATGTGTCAATCAAATATGAGCAATCTATGCTTTGACCCAATTTTGGTCTATCTGATCAGTGTCGCTCCATCAACATATGTGGGGATTTTATTGTCTTCCTCCAATTGTTTGCCCATAGACTGTCTTCTAAGAATCATGGAAACGCTCACGTGACACACACCGAAATGTGAATTTTCAAAAAATTATTATATTAAGTATGAATGTATAAGGATAACAATGTTTACATGTCATATATATGAATCTTTACTTCAAACGTAATTATTTTGAAAGTCTAAAGGAGGAGAATATGTATAAATTTACTCTCTTTTTTTCTTTTATCATTGGATTCCATGTTATTTTATTCAAACTTTCTATGTTTTCCATGTGTCTAAGCAATAGACAGATATATGCCTCAAGCGTATGAAGTCTGTCTGAGTCTAGAAAATTTCTAATAATAGGACATGATTGAACGTGTCCGAAAGATGTTGTGAAATGTCCAATGAGTGTCATGTCAACACGAAGGTGTTTCTTAAACCGTCTTATTGAGAGGGATTATGTTGTGTGGCCCATGTATCATACTCTGTTGCCTAGGTAACACAATCAAAAAGCAAACTCATGGGAAGATCCATATGGTCAAACTTACGGTAGAATTACTCTTTCCTAAAAATAACCACACAAAGGGTTTTCACATAATCCAGCCACTTGAAAAAGTGACCTTACAAGTTCTTCTGAACACTTCAGAAAGGAAGTTGCCTCAAAGGCACCAATCTATAAAGAGTGACTTCACTTAGTACTTCCCAAAACTAATTGAAGATCATGCTCCCCGCCATGGATGCACTTGATATCGAATCTCCAAAAGCTTCACAATTGGTTCCACCTCACTCCATGAAAAATCCTCCAAATTTGAACATCCCACACCACATTGCTTCTAATATTGCATATCACGCACCTCTCTAGTATAAAATGTAAAATTAACTACTTTTTTCCCTGTCAACATGCTATTTCTCAACAACAACCAACACTATGTTCAACTCAAACATGCACCATTTGTAAGAAGTGTCCACACCACATAGATTACTTTTGAAGAGAAGTTCCTTTTGCAACATCAATTCATACAGGCATACCATTTCTTTTGTATATTTTGTTTGAGTAAATCATGAGATTTTCAATGAGCTGCTGAGCATTTATTATAGTTATGATATTACTAGTGGCTTGAGAACATGTGATTTGAGTGTAGAAGTGTGATAGCACACCATTCGGTAGCAAAGGCATCAATTCTTACGGCAATCCATGCTCAACTCCTTTTTTGGCATATTTTGTTTGAGTAAATAATGAATTTTTCAATGAGCTGCTTAGTATTTATTATAGTTATAATATTACTAGTGGCTTGAGCACATGTAATTTGGGTGTAGAAGTGTGATAGCACGCCATTCAGTAGCAAAGACAGCCATGAAGCGTGATCATACATGACAAATATTACACATTTCTTGATTAACTCATCATACTCAACAGACCCATGACTGGAAATTTTGACAGGAAAGAACGGTCTTTACCTCTTTAAACCCTAAGGGAGGCTGGCGCGGTTTTCCCCATACAAGTGTTAATTTATCAAACTGCCAAAAAGAAGAAAAAATAAAAATAGAAAAAGGCATTAGATTGAGATGCAACAAATTGAAGGTTTATGCATTTCCTTATGTAAATCACAATAAATTTCCCTGAAATACAAATATTTACAAAAAAAAAAAAAAAAGTGTGAGAAATTTAAGGTTACCTCCAAGGGATCTGAGGCTATAGGAATTTCATTGGGAACCTCTTCCACATTATTGGATGCAACAATACTAGGGTAAGGATGGGGAGTCTGGTCATGGTTCCTCCTCTCATTAGCACCAAAAACATCACTATCACTATCTCGGAAAAGTTGTGAAGTTGTTTCCCGAGCAAGTCTGGTCACAAGAGAGAATTTCTCCAATAGTTGAATTGAAATATCTCGAGCAGGATCATGAAACTTTTGCCTCTGCCTACCATTGTGCTGAATAAGACTGGCACTTCCATCAAAAGTACCTACTTCAGTCCTCTCTTGATTTTCATATGAGGGGGGCCCACCATCTGAGATAGGTGAAGATGGCCCAGTTGCAACAGCAACAGCCCTAGGCAACTCCAAAGAGGACAAAGTTCTCTGTCCAAGAAAATAAAACAAAACGAAACAATACTACATAGTTAGAACAGTCAAGAGAAGGCATTAAATATCAGGATAAATGAATTTATTACTAACGCTCAAGGCAGTGAAAAAACATCAGACAACGGTTCAAACAGTGAAACATGCAGTATGCAACTTCACCCGATCTCCTATTAGAATAAATGACAAAAAGAAAAGACTGTTTTTGTAACTTTAACAGAAGCAAGAAATGCTGAAAGCAAGACAGCTCAATATTTGCATGTAAACAGGAAAAATGAACTTCAATCCACAAACAAAAAAGGCACTATTTGCTTCAGATAAGATGACCATGTGACAGGAATGACCCTTCGGTAATGATAATATATGTACAGGTTTGGGTTAGTCAAAATAAATTTTAGTTTTCAATAAGTGATCCCCAGTTCATCCACAGCCCCAATCCCATAGTGACCCTGAAAAATGCTCTGAAACCCAAACCGTTGGTTAAACCAAAAAAGGGACCTGGTCAAGGGTCCCTGGTTCCACACCGTCAGGTTCCACCAGAATTGAACGTGCATCATAATTACCCTACAAATATATTAAAAATTGCTTAAATAATAACTTAAGTATTAAGATACATTCATTTTTTTTTCTTTTATATTAATATATTGTTTTTTAAAAAGTTAATTATACTTGTGTTTGAAAGAAAATGCAATGGATATAATAAATAATATAAGTTAACCATGGTGGTTTAGTGGTAAAGTGAACAAGCAATCATAAATGAGGTGCTGCGTTCAAGACCCATAACAGTGATTTTTGCAACGCATGAACCAAGTGCATTGGAAACTCTCAGGTTCCGTCGGTTTACTTAAACCGGCACCAATTCATGCTGTTAGCCAGTTTTCAAATTAAAAGGGTTAGGGTTTATCCAGATCAGAACCTAGACTGGTCAACAGGTCAACCGATCGACCCAGCCAGTCCAGTCCGGTTTTAAAAGCATTTGCCTTGCAATATACCCTTCCTTATACTTGGTCTAGAATCGATTATGACAGCACCCAACTTCAATATAACCTCAACTTGGACACACTGATATACAAATTACAATTACCGAATTATGTTTTATATTTCAGTGTTTGTCCCACTGATCCTAAAATACTTCAACTTGATGGCATTTCCCAGAGTACTAACTTAGTATTCATTTTGTTGTAGAGACAAATTAGACTATGACATAGGAAAAAAAAACACACCATAGGAATTCGTCCTCAATATCATCACTCAATTCATAAGATGGGTGAATAACATTAACCCTCCCTGAGTGGCTTACCCACTGGGAACACCCTTCTGGTTTTAAAAATGATTACCAATACCCTTCATACTATTTGGTTCTTTGTAACAGATTCCACATTCTGTCAACATGCCATCACCAATGCTGACACATTCTACCTATAACAACACAGAAGGAGATGAGGGAGAAGAGGGAGAAAAATTGAGGCTTGAATCAGTCTTCAGCCACAAATGTAAATTAAGAAAGATGCTTTGGGGTATCCTCTTAATAAAATTCTTTTTTGTTGCCGATCAAAACAAAAAAGGAATGCTTAAGGGTAGTTGGGACAATAGAATCACAGTTTTCCATGTTTGCTGTGTGGATAAGAATGATGCTGGTGTACAAGTACAATGGCATTCAATTTTTAAAATGATTTACTTCGTGTAACTATTCTTAAAAATGGTTGTTATATAAGAGCACAAGTTGCGCACCTGCAGACGATCTTGAAAATCATTCACAAGAAAAACATTTGCATCTTCTGCTGACCTGAAAACACAAGATTTTGCTATAAAAATCTATCAACAGTCTGATCCAGTGAAATTGAAAGGTAGTGTACACCTAAAATACCCTAAAAAGGAAGTTAATCTATGCAAACTAAGGACCCTAAATTGCCAATGCTCCTGATACTTATCACATCAAACTCCTTAATTTAAGAAAATTACAACAAGAATAATTTGAAAGCAGTTGTAGCAATAATATGTAATGCATCATACGCATTCAAATCAAAGATAATGGCAAATTCATGTCAACGAACATGCATCAGACCTCATCAGATTCTAAAGAACTTTTTCTCTTTTTCCTTTCTTTTCCTTATTTCACCATCTTTTTCCTGATAAGCGTAAGTTACGTCTGATACAGATCAAAAAGCTCGTTTATATTTTCCTCTAGGACACTCCTTTCGCTCAAATATTGACTATTCATCCTGGATTCAAATTACACAACGTTATATGGGTACATGATTCAATCAGCCCTCTAATATTTAATAAATAAAAAATTTAAAACTTAAAAATCTTTTTCTTTTTTGATTTGCCGCCCAAAAAATAAATAAATAAATAATACTAACAAATATCTAATTACATGTAAATCTTAGAGAAGCAAACTGTTTTACATGGTACATAATACTTCAATTGCCTAATAATTACTAATATTTACAAAATCTTATGCAAGGTCCATACAACTAGTTATTGGAATAGATGTTAAGTATTATTGTATAAGGGTAGTTAAGGATAGTTATGTCTTTTGTTCCTTTAGTCTTTTATTATAAGTATGTGTAACCCTAATATGTTTAGGAGTGTGAATAATATACAGTTCTCTTTCTTTTCTTTCTTTTATGCAAATCTAACATGGTATCAGAGCATCATCTTCCTCCTTGAAGATTCGTTTCTTTTTCTTTTTCTTGTTTCTTTCGTTCTTCCTTGTACACAGAAAAAATCAGAAAAAAAAATAATAATAAAATAAAATCCAGTCCTTGTTGAATGATATTGGGTTTGTTTGTAGTGAACCATTGACACTGTACTGTGATAACAAAGCTGCCATTAGTATTGCTCACAATCTTGTTCAGCATGATAGAACCAAGCATATTGAGATCGACAGACATTTCATCAAGGAGAAATTGAATAAGGGTTTCATATGTATGCCTTTTGTGAAGTCTGCAAATCAATTGGCTGATGTTTTTACTAAGGGTCTTAGTAATAAAGTTTTCCATCCTATTTGCTGCAAGTTGGGCATGAGCGATATCTTTGCATCAACTTGAGGGGGAGTATTAAGTATTATTGTATAAGGGTAGTTAAGGATAGTTATGTCTTTTGTTCCTTTAGTCTTTTATTATAAGTATGTGTAACCCTAATATGTTTAGGAGTGTGAATAATATACAGTTCTCTTTCTTTTCTTTCTTTTATGCAAATCTAACAATAGAAAAATAAACCAATGCACAAACATAGATGCATACCTAATCTCCAACAAGGACCAACACAAATTAATAATTCATAACACCTCTTTTCCAGTACAAATCCAAAGAACTAACCGAAGGAGCCAATTTAACAAAGAGATTTCATTAGAGAGATAAAGTCCCAAATTGGGATACAATAGCTCTCAAGCTCTGAAATATTCAGTATCAAAATATCATAAACTGAATATTAGAAAGGCCTAACTACCTATTTATAGGATAAAAGACACAACTAACTCTTATGGTACTAAAAACATAACAACCGTATAAATTCTAACTACATCACTAACATACAAAAAATATAATAATTATTACTATTATGGTAAAAATACTCAGCCAATCAGATTCTCTGGATGTTACTGTTATGTTAATAATACTTGGTCTATCTCTCTCATTGTTATTATTAGCCATCCACTACTAACACCAGAAAACACTAAGAAGCAATAATAATATGTGAGTACCTTAGGATATTGCGTTGTGAACGTGTCAAAACTACTCTTAAACAGATATATGCAGAATCTTCATTTTATGGAAGACATTGGTGGATATCAAAGCAGCACAGACATGGACATGCAACACGACACGAAAACTCTGACACATCAATTTTCAAAAAATGCAAGACATGAAACATGAAAGACATGTGCAAAATATATAGTTATACATATTTATTATGTGTCATATGAACTTCCAAAGATAATTAAAAGAAAAATGCAACATAACACTACTTACTAAAATTTAAGTTTAAGTTTAAAGGAGGAGGAAACAAGGAATATAAATTTACATTGTTTTTTCTTTTAACATCGTATCATGTGAGTTATTTTGTTCAAACTTGTGAGTTTCGTTGGTGTCCAAGTCTGAAGCAAGTCTGGTTTGTATTCATACCCACATCCAACAAAGGCTTGTTTATTACACCTCCAGTTAGTTTAACAAAAAATTATAATGGTACCTTTTAGTACATACACCACATGGGAATTATGCAGTTATTTTTAAATGAGAAGGGGGTGATCCACATATGGGCCAAAGCACAATGGAAAAATGTGAAATTTTCCCTTTTTTAGACCAAAACACTATTAAGTTCCTTAAAATAATGGAGGACTTACGTGTAGGTCCTAATAGGCGGACTTATGTCTAATAGGTCCTATGATAATTTATGGCCTTTTTTTTTGGATCAACAACAAAAGCTTTATTGATAAAACAAAAAAAGGAAAAGAGGATAAGGCATCCTCTTACAATAGGACAATGAGAATACAAACACGAAAATAACCCGAAACAAGCTAAACACAAGCAAAAGTCTACATAGCACACACTGCCACACAATCTCTAGCTAATAAAAAAAGTGGAACTCCCTTAAATAATGAGTTCCCTGATGCCCAAAAAGAAGATAAGTGAAAAACATGATCCCACAAACAGCCCACCTCCTGAAACTTCTCTTCAAACAACCTCTGATTTCTCTCCATCCATAGAACCCAAAAAATTGCAAAGACGGCACAAGACCATAGAATTTTGGCTCTCTTCGATCCTCCAAATGTGCGAAAATCAACTAAAAGCATATGCGCACTCCCTTTTGGGGCAACCCACATAACATTTCCCAAAGAAAACAATCTATGCCATAAATTTAAAGCTATTGGACAATGCAAGAATAAATGATCCACAGACTCCCCGCTCTTACAACACAGAATGCACCACTGAGGATTTAGAACACGATTACGTCTTCTTTTCTGCAATGTATCATTTGTCAAAATGCCTCCATGAACCAAGGCCCACATGAACACCTTTACCTTTAAGGGAGCACAAGCCTTCCAAACTCTTTTGCAAAAGGGAAACTACGAAGCTTGAGGATTATCAATGATGCAATCAAAAAAAGACTTACAAGAAAATATTCCGGACGAATGAAGAGCCCAAACTCTCTTATCCTCCAAAAGAGGAGATAAAGAAAAATGATCAATTCTGGATAATAAAGAAATCAATTGCGAAGCCTCCCTATCATTAAGATTCCTAGAAAAATCAAAATTCCAGGAGATTGGAGCCGAAAATGAGCAAGCCATGAAAGCAATTGAAGAATTATGAGAACGAGCCACTCGATATAGATGCAGGAAATCGGCAGCAAAAGAAGATTGACCCATCCAAACATCCTCCCAAAACCGAACAAATTCCCCATTGCCCACCCTTACAGAAAGATGTCGGGACCAACATGTGAAAATTTGAGAAATTGACTTCCAAGGAGCACGACAGCTACCCCTCAAAACCACTCGTGAATTCCTACCATTGTCTTGAGTCCCATATTTGCTTCTTATAACCGAATGCCATAATGAATTAATCTCAAGTGGAAATCTCCATAACCACTTGTCAAGAAGGGCCAAGTTCCTAGCCACAATATTACCTATAGCCAAACCCCCCTTCTCCTTAGGTAACGACACCATCTCCCAATTCACCAAGTGATCCTTTTTCCCCTCATCCTTACCTTCCCAAAGAAAATCCCGCATCAACTTTTCTATTGACCTTGCCACCTTAACCGGAACCTTAAACAGAGATAAATAATAAATGGGAATTCCACTCAAAACAGTCTTAACCAAAGTGTATCTACGCCCTCGTGATAATAAAGCCTTACTCCATCCTTCCAGTCTCTTACCAATCTTTTCCATTACTGGAGACCAAAAAACTTTACTCATAGGATTACCCCTCAATGGAAGACGTAAATACTTAAACGGAAGTGCCTCTATATCACATCCTAAAAGAGACACCCTACCCTGAAGTTGATCTTGCTGCATATTAATTCCCGCCACGTTACTTTTTCCCAAATTAATCTTGAGCCCCGAAAGCATCCCAAAAATCCTCAAAACTGAATAAAGATTAACTATCTGATTTTCATCCCCTGAAGAAAAAAATATAGTATCATCCGCATATTGCAAATGAGTTACACTAACTCTATCCCTCCCTACCTCCAATCCCTCAAAAAGACCTGTTTCTTTAGCTCTATCGACCATCCTTCCCAGTACATCAGCCACCAAGATGAAAAGAAAGGGAGAGAGTGGATCCCCTTGTCGAAGCCCCCGCGAAGCCCTAAAGCAATCCCCTGGTTTACCATTAACTATGACTGACATATTGCAAGTTGACAAATAACCCCTAATCCAAGATCTCAACCGATCACCATATCCTTTCTTATCCATTACCAAATCCAAAAACTGCCAATCCCCATGGTCATATGCCTTTTCCAAATCTATCTTAAAAATAAGACCCACCCTCCATGAACTCATATATTCCTCCACAACTTCATTTGCCACTAAGGCAACATCTAAAATTTGTCTCTCTTTCACAAAAGCCCCCTGCGCCCTAAACACAGTATCCCCTAAAGACACCCTTAGTCGTTTTGATAAAACCTTCCCCAAAATCTTATACAGTGACGTTACCAAACTGATAGGCCAAAAATCTCCAATTTTGATAGCATTCACTTTCTTAGGAATTAAACAAATGAATGTGGCATTTGAGCTCAAATTAACCACCCCCGACTCATGAAATTCCAAAAACACCTTCAACAAATCCC